TTTTATTCAGCAAGGATGCATTAAATTGATCAAGTTAAACTTGCATTGCAAAAAAAGTACATTTTAAATAGAATTCTTTTGAACTTTCTACTCATCAAAAAATTCTGGAAGAAATGTATCATAGTTTCTACAGAAAGCAGCACAACTGTTTTCAACATTGATAATAATAAGAAATGTTTCTTGAGTGCCAAGTCAGCATATGAGAATGATTTCTGAAGGGTCATGTGACACTGAACACTGAAGTAATAATGATGCTGAAAATTCAGCTTAGCCATCACAGGAATAAATTATATTTTTAAAATATATTAAAATAGAAAAAAGTGATGTTGCATTGTGATAATATTTCACTATATTAATGTTTTTACTGTAATTTTGATCAAATAATTTCAGCCTTGGTGAGCATATGATACTTCTTTCAAAAACTTTTTTTTTATTTTATTTTTTTAAACTTACCTACCCCAAACTGTTAAACAGTAGTGTAGATATTTTTGAATGGCAGTCATATAAGAAAGATCCTTTATTTATGTTTTGTAGTACATAAACCAACAATTATTGGGTCATGTACTAGAATTTCATTACAACAGCAATCCTAAGTGCAACGGTCTCCACCAACAGGATTATTTCAGATCCCATTGGAAGACTCTCAGCACAGCATATGTTAAATCATGGCTTGAGATCTATGATGTTATCTGTTGGAGTTCACATCAGAACGTGCCTGATGTTACGTATGCACTCCGTAAGAACTTCGTTTTAAGGCCATCTCATCTCTGCTGATCTTTATTGAAGTCTGAGTCTAAGATCAGCCAGTTTTAAGGGGCATAAAAGTGAACAAATTGAGTTGAGTCAGCTTGATCTGTGTTAAATCTAATTAAGAGTTAATTCCCCTTAATTGCACCCAAACAGCAGTGTGTATGAAGGAAAAAAGATTAATGAGTACATACTCCAGGGTTATTTGTTTTGAATTTTTTTTTTATTTGTATTTTGTTTAATTTACTTTGATATTTTTAAATGTCTTTTTCATTTTAGATTAATTTTTCTTTATTTGTTTAGTTTATTAGCTTTGGCTCTCAGTTATAGTTAATTTTTTTATGTTCAGGTTTTGATACATTTAAAATATATTAAAAATATTTTATATATACTATATATATATATATATATATATATATATATATAATGTAATCAAATATATTTTAATATATAGTATTATTTAGTGTATTATTTTAATATATTGAATATATTTAATATATAGCTGTATTTTAGGGCTGCAAAAGATAACGCATTAACTGATCATTTAAATATATTTTACAGGATCAGTTTTCTCAAGGCTGGCCAGTGTTATCACTAGTAGCATTTTGATGTTTAATGTTAATAATTAGGGTTTCAAATTTTATAATGCACAGATTATCAAAAACTACAATTATTTCATGATATTTCATATTTCTGATATTTTAGTTTCGTTTTGGAGTCGTTAAAATTTTCCCAGTTTAAGTGTTTATTTTTTATTTTAGTTAACAATAGCAAATGTTTTCATTTAGTTTCTGTTTTTTGTTGTTGTTGTTTTTAGAAATAACACTGTTGTGTGTTCACAATTTTCTCTTAGAAGCTCCTTAATATAGGCCTTTCAGATATTTAAATTTCTTTTAAAACTTATTTAACCTTATCTACTACATAATATGGAAAAGGTCTGTTGAGGAAACTAAAGACCTGCAGATTTTTGGGCTGTTTACCAGATTTGGCGGTTCACACAGCAGATGACTGACTGAACAGGAAATTTGATCATTTAAATGTATTTTTCAAATGTATTATTTTTATTTTTGCCAAATCAGTTAGTCCTCCTTGCGACCAAGATTTTTCAGTAAATGCTTCCATATGGCAAACTGTCCCTTTAAGACAAACAGAGTACGTTCCAACAACATAAAATGATATTATCACACTACTGCATGGATTTAACACAGTCTTTCCACTACCATGGAGAGACAGTACCTTTTTGAACTTTGCAAAGACTGTGGTCGAAAGAAATATCAGGACCTCACGATAGATTAAAACACGTGGAAGGGGTTTTAAAGACCTCCCAGGAATGGTACCTTTTTGTTGGCCGTTCCATGAAACAATAATTCCTCCGAGTCCTCATCCCATCAGAGAGTGATTCCAAGAACTCTCTAGTTGAGTGCTGAAATGGGACTCTTGACTGAATGTTTGTGCCCTTAATTCATATCCTGATCTGCCACTGGTTAGCAGGAAAGTTAAAGGGGGAGTGCATTTGTCACAGACACAACCTAATCTTCTTATTTCCCTCCTTTAATATCTGTTTCGCCTAGTTGAGATACCTTTGCCCAATCCCTCTGTTTCCCTCCTGCCTTTCAGTTCATTGGACTTGTTGCGGATTAACCTACTAGCTCAGACAGATTGGAAAGACTTGCTGTTCTCCAAACTGTAAGTGTAATTGTATGTCATAGAATTGTGGTTCTTTGAGAAGAGCTATTAAGTGAATGTGTGCGGGATCTTATATGTGTTTCTCTTCGTGGATTTAAAACAGGGTTGTAGCATCTATTACATCTAGCTTTAAAACTAAGTCAGCCTCTCGTGGACGTTTGGGACAATATTTGGCAAGATATTTCAGATGGGCAAGCAGAACTGGATGTAATGGATCCTCAGTAAATGTTCTTGGTGCTTTACATTAGTTGTGTATGCTTAACATTATGTGAGTGCTTGCATGTAAGAAGTGGGGGAAATGGTTTGTATTATCCTCTGATGGATGCTGCAAAAATCTCAAATTAGCATGAACTGCAGAACTCAGTTTGACATCTGTAAGGTAGGTAACACTTTCTCTGTCTTTCTCTTTAGGTACACTATAAGGAAATATTTAAAAACTGCTTAATTAGTTATGTCTTTTAGTATTTTTAAGGTTACTGACTAATACATTATATCTGCTTTTCATACGTGAAGGTATTATTTGTACCTGTAAAAGCGGCTTGAATAATATGTTTGCAGTTCCTCGCTGCTCTGTAGAGGGCGCTGTTTCTCCCTAAAACATGTCCAGAGAACATCCTTCTCAATAAAAAGATAGGAACTCTGCGATAAAAATAGAAAAAGAGTACAGATTTGACAGCTAATGAATAAGGATGTGTGGAATAAATTGGAAAATGCCTGAAAAAATAGGTATGTTTAAAGAGGTAAAATAAGATGTGAGATCTGTGATGTTGTTCTCCTGAGGCGGTCCTTCGTGTATTCTGTTTAGGGTCATTAGAGAGATTATACGTCCCTTCTCTTATGGTCCATTTGCGCCTTCATCACGTTGTCAGCACTCGTCCTTCTGTCCTGATCCCTCTGTCTCGTCTTCTATCCCCTAACTGTCTAAACAGAGACTAGAACACTCACAACAACATGTCAACGATTAGCAAAGGTGCCAACCCTCTTGTTTTCTGCTCAGATTGTGACATAGAAGTATTTAGATATGCGCGTGATAGCAACATCCGTTCCTCATTTCATTTCGCTTAGAAGAATAGCCTATTATGATTAGGGAGACGGGATGGTTGTAACACGGGTCAGATGTAACACTTTCAATTTCTCAAATTAAGGAACTAGTTACAAATCAGCTAATTCACTTCACACATTCTCAATGTAGTCTTTATTCCACATGTGAGGAGGTAGAGCCCTGTGGCAGACAGCAGATTTTAGAGGAGAAAAACTAATTTTGAGGTAAGAAAGTAACTTTTTATACTTCATTTAATTTTGTGATGGCAGTCCCTGCTTTGTAGTTAAACTCATCAAAGTTAAATTATGTTTATTGTGGGTCTGTGTAGATATTTTATTAGTGCTAGTTGGCTGTTAGCTGTAAGGTGAGCTAGTTCATGGCTACAAGACTCAGGGTTAGTTGTAACATCAATGAAACATGTTATAACCTTTTTATACAGTCTATGGTTATAACCTACCCCAAGCAATTTTTTTATTTATTTATGTGTTTTCTTTGAAGTGCTCAAGTTCAATTTTATTATGGCCAATTACTATGACTGACATTAACAAACATGATTAAACACACACACACACACACACACACACACACACAAACACTGTTCAATTGTTGAAGCTAGTGCACATTTGCTCAAAAGATTTCAAAATCCATTTTTTGTCATAATCCTTATTGCATAATGTTACATCGTACTCCAGGGTATGTTACAGCTAATCCGGACTATGGGGTGAATTGTTACATTTCATTCCTTGTGTTTGAAACTAAACTATGCATGTTTATGCTGCCAAGATAACAGCTATGCCATTTAATATCAGACACTTGTAACTAGTTTGAATCACATTTTGAACACACTCACTTACAAGAACTCCAAGATAAAGACAGAAATGTCAAAAATGTTACAACCATCCCATGTCTCCCTCTACATACTTTTAAGAAAAAGATATTCTTACTTAAGACATGCTTTTCAATCAAAACATTTCATAAAAAAGGTTCATGTATATGCTGGCAAAATTGAAGACAAAAGTATTTGGTTAATTTTGGTTGTTAAACGTTAATGGAACAAGTTAATAGTTAATGGAAAAAAGTACACCTTTTACCACTAGGGCACCAATCAAATTTCACTTTCTTATAAATTTTCATATTAAAATAACTTTTTTATTTAACAAATTACAATTTGCACGGAACAAGGTGCATCTTGACACCTTGGAAATCACCTTTATTTGATTTAATAATGCAGCAAATGGTTAAAATTCCTTTAAGAATAATAATAAAAATGAATAAATACATTAATTAATTAATTAATTAATTACAAATTATCAAAAAAGCTGACCCCACTAAAAGTTGTATAGTGTGCACACTGTACAGTATTGCACTATAGGACTGAATCGAACTTTCCATGACCTACTTTCTCTGTTCCAAAATGCAAATCTTACATTATTATCTTATATTATTGGTTTTGTGTGAGTGTGAGTGAGTGTGTGTGTGTGTTTTGTTTGTATGTTTGGCCTGAGGTGATGGCTTTTATCCAAGTATACAAAGACATTTTAATAATCTCTAATGCCATGTTAAGAAATTGACAACTTGCAGTGTTTGAATAGTTCAAAGCCATCGAGTGTCTGTTGTATTGTAGTGTATGGCATTTCATTCAAAAGTTAATAGGTTTTGTGTCCATCATTTGTCCTAGCTGTGTTATTTCTGGATTGCAGATCATTCAGAAGAACCGAAGGGTAATGTATTTATCTTTTCCTGTCGATTTAACCCTTATTGTTTACATCTAAAGTGTAGTTGTTACATTACATACAGCTTAAAAGTACATGTGGAAACCACATTGTGTGTTCATATTTATCTCTAAAATCTTGTTTACAATTAGAGACTTAACTGTGTGCATAATTCACTTATTCGCCTTGGCACTTAGAAGATGAATTGATAAACAAGGCCTATATTTTAAAGGGGTCATGTGATGCTTTTTTAAAGATCATTATTTTGTGTATTTGGTGTAACAGAATATGTTGACATGCTTTAATGTTCAAAAAACACATTCTTTTTCAAATACTGTACATTATTGTAGGTCCTCTATGCCCCGCCTCTCTCAAGCGCTTCGTTTTCTACAAAGTCCCTCCTTCCGACAAGCGCAGTCTGCTCTGATTGGCCAGCTGACCCAGTGCATTGTGATTGGCCGAACACCGCAAGCACTCGTCGGAAATGTAACGCCCCTTACCATAATCGCGAGCTTCAGCTTTCAAAATAAATGTAAAGACAGCGCCCGAAAGGGGAACAGAGTCGCGTGACAGACACAGTGATGAAGCTGGTATGTGTGCAGTACACAAGCCACGGTTAAGACAGCTGACTCCACTGTGATGTGACCCCCCCCTCTCTCTCTCTC